GGGGTTGATTGGCGCCGGGCGCCCTGAATCCTGCTGGTGTCACGGCGTTTTGCAGTCGCGCCGGGCGCCCTGAATCCTGCTGGTGTCAATAGGTTTTGATGGGGTTGTTTGGCGCTGGGTGCCTGAATCCTGCTGGTGTCAATAGGTTTTGATGGGGTTGATTGGCGCCGGGCGCCCTGAATCCTGCTGGTGTCAATAGGTTTTGATGGGGTTGGTTGGCCGCCCTGAATCCTGCTGGTGTCAATAGGTTTTGATGGGGTTGATTGGCGCTGTGTGCCTGAATCCTGCTGGTGTCAATAGGTTTTGATGGGGTTGATTGGCGCTGGGCGCCTCAATCCTGCTGGTGACATTAGACTTGTTGAGGGGGTTATGTGACGGCGCTGGGTTCATTGCTTTTTGCATATTGCATACTGCATTGATTGGCAAAGCAAGGGGTGCGTCAAGACGAGGGTGGTGAGCATGCCTTTGCAAGCCGTTCCACAGACCGGGCGGCAATCGCTGTCAGCGGCAGTGTTTGTGGGCTGCTTTTGGGGCGACCACTTTTCTTATTTGAGCTTGCACAAAGCTCTCCACCGAGGACATGTGGCGATGGCAGTGCATATACACAGTGGAGTGACGCACGCACTCACTGCATCGCATGCGTCGCCCAAGCGGGGAGTTGGGCAGCGCCAATAATGCATGTTGGCCATCAATTGTATTGGCCCGTACTTTGCCACAACGTTTTTAATGTTATATTTGGTCTCCTGAACTTATATGGGGATTCTCCCAGCAAGATGCTTGCTTCAACGAAACAGCGCAGCACGTTTGGACAAGAACTGGCAAAGGGTGTGGGTGAGTGGCACCGAGCGTTGCAAGTGCGCAGTGGCGCCAGACCTAGCATGCAACTTTTTCACACATACTTATGTGTATCATAATAACCCCTCCTTGGACGCGATGGTGGGAAGGGTGAGGCGTGGCGGTGCATCGATAAGTGGGGATCCAGCAGTGTGATTGGGGCGGTGAACTGACTCCCGCCAGTTCTCACCTGCGATGAACGAGCGTCATAGCAGCTAACATGCTGCTAGGATCAGTTTGAGCTGAAAAAGTCATGCTCCATTCCTCACGGATTGCGAGATCATGCACTCAAATCGGGATCGGGTGTGCGGGTGAAGCAGCGCATATCAAAATGGGTATTTAATCTCATCAGGAAAGAAGATTTGTTCCACCCGTGTGCGCAAAAGTGGTTTTTGTGGACTCTGGATGACTGGAGGGGGGTCCTTGTCGAACCGCGTGGTCATAGGTGGTGCTGACAACAATGATGCGGGTTACTAATTTGCTTTTCTAGACGAAAATCCGTCGTATCATGCGTGCAGTAACGATGGCGATTACCGTGGGGCGCCCAGAGTGGTCACCACCGTAGACACCGCACACGGCAGATGTGGCAAGCAGCAGTATGCTCAAAGCGAGTGGGGTATCCCTGCCCGTACCCGCGCCACCGGTATCCGTAGATACACTAAACATAAATCACCTGCGCGACAGGCGCTTTTGCTCCGTTCGTGCTGTTCTGGCCCATTGGAAGCCCGTGATTAAGTGAACGGGTCACCTGCTGGTCGATCTGGTGATGTCACCATGCATCGTTGGTGATTTCACCGATGTTGCCATCGTCTTGATTGGCCTTGGGACTGCCGCAATGCCCTTGCAAGTGCACAGCATTGCTGCAACTAATGCAATTTGGTGGGTATTGTTGGGGTGTTCCTCCCCTTCCAAACAACAACGACCAGCGCATGTCACCACTCGAACACCCAGCCCACGCTCGGCGGCTGGAAGGAGGTGGATTAGGGTTGTGATTAGGAGTGTTACAGGATGACTACAGGGCGACCACCTGCATGCGTACGCCTTGTCCCTATGACGGTCCGGGTGCCCGGCCCCGTACGTGCCTGATCCCAGAACCCTGCAGCCAGCCCGCGAACCGGCGTGCCGGGCACACCAGGGCCGGCCCCCGGACCCATTCCAGTCGGCCGGGAAATGGTCGTAGCCAGGCCGGGCAGCAGCGGGCTGTGTGTCATCAACTCATCATCAACTGCTCCAGCACGTCCAGCGCGTCACCAGAGCGTTGCTGCAGGCCAAAGCCGGCGGTTTGCTCGTGCACAGCAGACAGCACGCGAATCATGACGCGTCGTGACATTTTGGACTCATGAAAACCAGGTACAAACTTGGCATCGAATCGCCCATCTTGACACTCTTGAGACCAATATCGGAGAGTTTTTTTGCTGTGTGGTAGGTGAGGGGCTGCTGTACACTACTGCTGTACACTACAGCATGCATGCTTAAATCCAATCCTCTTGGGGTTCCTTTGGGGTTCTTGAAGTAAGGGGACCGATTGACCAAAGCGATCACATACTGGTTACTAAAAAAGAGTGCACATGCTGGGTCAGGTAGGTGGAGATTAGCATCGCTGCCGCCTCGCCAAACGCCGGCAGCGCTGCCGCCTTGCCGAACGCCAGCAGCCACGAAAGAAACGGTGCTGCATCCAAACACGCCTGAGGCCGCACACACCCTCATGGTATCAGCCACCCGAATCCCAGTCACACAACGCTGCTGCTTGACAGTCCAATCCATGTAGAGCCTGGATGGCTTTGGAAGCGGGCGACCGTGGGACACTGTAACAAAAAACCTGATCCTTGAACCAGGTCCGCATGCACCTCGCTTGCCGACCCCGCTGCTGCTCAGGCCGCGGTTGGGCCCAAACCCCGAGCCGACCCGCAGCAGAGGTGCAAACAGACCCTCCCCCAAACGGCGGCTGCTCAACACCCGGCTTCCCTGCGCGAGGGCCGGCGGCCCGCACAACTTCAGCTCCCCTTGATCGACTCCATCATGCGCGGGCACATGCCAGACGAGTCACAGGGCCCAAAGAACAGCGGATCTGCGAGGGGGCATTCGGCGGATGCAGTTGTTTGGTTAGTCTTGACCGCAGCGGCGGCCGGGAAGAGGCCGCAAGCACGGCGTTTGTGCGACTGTGGTGAACCCGCCACTTTGATCGAATCAAACCCGCCTGTTCCACCCTGTTCAGGTGCATGTGTTGTTGAACTGGGATGATGCTTGTAACCCAAAACCTCCCCAAGAGCAGTTAGAGACGGTTGTTTTGGAACCAACCACCCACCCGCGATGACGATGAGGAGGAAGTTGGTCAGCAGCACGCTCGCCCACCGCGGCGGCGGCGGCAGCCGCCAGCGCCGCAGCCACAGCGCCCGCAGCCCGGCCTCCGCCACAATGACCGGCGCCTGCGCTGAGAAGAAAGCCAGCCACCTCCAGCCGTGCCCAGGCACGTGGTGGTTGCGCCAGATCAGCATGTGCCACAGGCCGCTGAACAGAAAGGTTGCCTGCAGCGCCGCCGCGCGGCGGAGCAGCAGCCGCGCCGCGCGCCCGGGCTTGGCGGGGGCTGGGGCGCGCGTGGCGCCGCGGCCGTCGCCGCCGGCAAGCTCGTGGCGCGCCGCGGCGGCAGCAGTGCGGTGGCGGAGGGCCGCCCCAACGCAGGCGGTCAGCTCCGCACCGCGCACTGCGCCGTCGTCGCCGTCCCCTCCCGCCGCGCTTGCCGCCGCCACGGCGGCGCCCCTATAGCCGCGCGACTTCGCATCAGGGTCGGACGCCGCGCCCTTGCTGCCGCCGCCAAGCAGGCCGTAAGTGGAATCGCCAGACAGCCCGCTGGGCGTGCAATCGCCGCGGCCGCACGCGCCGCTGGCCGCCGGTGCGGGCGCAGCCCCCACCGCGGCCGGGACGCCGCTCAAGGCGCCCTCTTCGCACCCCGCGGGCGCCTCGGCGCCGCCGTTGCGCGGGCGGGCGGGTCGCACGCCCGCAGCGGCGGCCCGCGGCGGGGCCGGCTGCAGATTGCCCAGGGCGTCGGCGTCTGACGCTGCGGTCTTGGGGACAAGGCGGCCCTCCAATACCGGCTCGTAAACCAGCACCCTGGAATGTATGCCAGTGATAGTTGCGGGACCATCAGCTGACCGCCTGCAAAGGCCACCATGCTTGGTGCCCCTGAAGGCAACACGTTTTGCACCAGCCGGCCAATGGGCCAGCAGACCATGCACCACAGCCGTGGGAGCCAAATTCTGCTCTGCTGACCTTGGCCTTGATGACCTTAAAGCACTGGCACATTTCATAACTTCGCGTGTCGCCATTGAAAGCTCCGGCCGTTCCGCGCACCCACCTGAGCATGTAGCTGATTGTCAGGTTCCACCTCCTGAGTGGCGACGCACGGCGCACGCCGCGGGGCAACCGGGTTGGGCGCGTATTTAGGGGGACACGCGCGATTCAAAAGCCTGCCGACATGTGCATGAGCAACCCAACCCTTCACATGTGATCACCCTGGCGGGGCCCATGCTTTGGGGCTGAATGTTTCATGTCCTTACCCGCGCCTGTGGCCCTCTGGTCCTCGCGCGCGGATGCTTTCCTGATGCCCCCCTCCTCCCTCCCCCCCAAAAAACCTACCTGCTCCAGTAGTCTGCAAAGGAGGTGCTGAGCCAGGGCGCGTCAAAAGAGTGCGCCACCTGCGCACGCACAGCGGTTTTCGAATACGGCGCGAAAGTATCAGCAAGCCGGCCTCGGACGTCGGCGGGTTGGGCTGTGCTTTACCACAGTTGCCGCCCGCAGCTGGAGCGCACACAACGACGCCCAAGCGCTCGCGTGCCGGGACAGGGCGGCACGCGTGCGCGATCGACAACCCGCAATCATGCAAGCGTTTGAACGGATCCGACGAGCACGCCCAACCAGCGTCCGAGCACGCGCCTGGAGGCCGAAAACGGCGATGGCCAGCGCGCAGTAGGCGTCCCAGATGCCCCCCACGGACATGCTGAGGGTCAGGGCATACAGCCAGTATACCGCCAGGCGGGGCAGCTGCGGGGCGTACGTCAACGCCACCGTCGAGACCGCGGCGGCGACCTTCAGGCAGTATGAAAAGAGGAAGGCCCGCGCCGTGGTTGCCGGCGCGGCGGTGGCGGCGGCGGCGCGCCGGCCGCCGCTGAGCTTGAAAACTGGGCGCGGCGTCAACCAGCCAAGGAGGGGGGTCTGAGTTGACGAGGCTGGGCGAGGTTGGATGCACAGCCTTGCAGTTGGCTTGTTTCAGAAGCAGCCTTGTATTCGTGAGGCCCCTTAAAATGGCAAGGCCCCGCTGCCAGGTGAAAGGGTGTTGGCTGATGCACGCTGCGCCAGCAGCCGGCCACCCAGGCGGCAGGAGTGACGAAGGTTTGCTGCTGCCTCGAGTGGACGCACTGCCGGTGGCCTTGGCCTCCCTCTCCCGCACCAAACGACAAAGTTGCAACCCACCATCCAGGGGTATGACCGGTAGGCACATGGCGGCCGCAAACAGCTGGAAGTTGGGGAGCCGCGCGTGCTGCAGGGGGCCGCGGCCCATTGCGAATGCGAGCACCTGGGGGATCGACGGAGGTGCACGTGCGCGTGGCGAGTGCGAGAAAGCAAGCGGCGATGAACGGCGCATCGCTCAACCGACAGCTGGCGATGTGGCTGCTGGCTGGGTTGGCTGGTGCGTGGACACAGCAACACGCAAGCAAGGCTCAGTGGACCGCACGCGGGATGGCGCGTATGTAGGTGGTGTGAACCTGCAATCCACTCCTGCGCCCGCCACGTCAGCGCAACCACCCAGCAGCCGCAGCTGGCAACTGCCGACTCCAGCCTGCCGCCACGCGGCTGGTTTGGCACCGCACCTTGAAGGCGGCGAGCGAGAAGACGCCCACCACAGGCGTGATTGCGATGGCCTCCCTCTCCCGGTCAAGAACCAACGGCGGCGCGGCCAACAACAGCAGCAAGGCGGCCGGCAGGCAAGCAAGGGCGCGGCGCGCGCTGCCGGGGGGCGAGGGGCGCCCGTATGTGAAGGTGACTGCCGCCGTAGTGGCGGCCAAAAACCATGACAGTGCGAAGCGGATGAGGAGGTCTGCTGCATAGCTGCGTTGCACATAGCGCATCGCACGAGTGTGCGTGGGCAGCTCCCTCGCTGCTTGAGATGCGCGGCCTGTATCGGCGGGGAGCGCGGATGATCACCCCGCAAACGGAAAGGCCGTGATGCTGTTCAAACTATTTGTAGAGGCGTTGTCGTGGCTGAACACGCGACAATTCTTGTAAAAGCCCGCGACTACGTGGCTGTCGAGCAGGACGCGTTACGAGCCCGCAAAGTGTGCAATCACCAAAAGAGACAACATGCTCAGACAGTTCAGTGTCAGAGCGCGTGGATATGATGCGGCCGGCCCATACCAGGCTGTCCAAGGGAGCGTGCGATGCCTTCCTCGGACGTCATCATTGTGCCGAGGCGACAACTGCGCTGAACTGATGAACCCAAAATGTGGCGCAAAGACACACGTGATGGCCGGCAATGCTGATTGTGCAAGGTGTATATGCTTTCTCAATCCTCCCCTGCGTGGCAGCGCACCGCTGGTCAACCTCTGCATTTGAGGTCAATCGCATACATGGGGCTGTGATTCATGATCTGCGCAATCTGGACTAGCGCACATCACACGCAACAAACGAAGCCGGAAATGGAGCCAGCATTTGGCGGCGGAAGTACATGCCCACCAGCTGAAAAGCGCCTGGAAGGGCTACCTCTGGCGAATAGGACTGTCTGCAGTACAAACTTGAATGCATGCCACTGTTTTTGGGTCGATGAACTTGTGCCCGCTCTGCTTGCGCGCTCTGCTTGCCCGCTCTGCTTGCCCGCTCTGCTTGCGCGCTCTGCTTGCTTGCTCTGCTTGCCCGCTCTGCTTGCCCGCTCTATGAATTGTGCAAATTCAACAGCGAACTGCAGCATCCCCGTCGAGCAGGCCGCACGCCCCCTAAAGCTGCAAGCCTTGCGCATGCCATCTCAACCATGAGGCTGCAGAGAATTCACAAACTGAGTCAAACCCAGATTGGGCGCTCTGCATGACACAAAGGTGCCACAGCAGCTGCTGAAAGCGGCCAGGGTCCAACGCCGAGCCCTCAGCCCGCGCTGGGCCGGATGAGCAGCCACTCGTCTCGCTCCGCCGCCGGCACCATCCACGCGCCGCTCCCCGGCAGCTGCTGCACGCACGGCGTGAACGGCGAGGGCAGGTGCAGCCGGATGGCGCCGCTGTGCAGGGGGGTGAACGTGGCGATGTGGCGCACCTTCCACCGGAGGAAGTGCTTGGGGCGCAGCAGCGCCCAGATGTGGTCCCTGAGCTCGTCGTTGCTGACCAACAGGCCGCTTCCCTGCAGACGATTGGTGATGGCATAAACTGCTGGTTATGAGAAAAGTTTTCCATCGTCCAGGCAGGCGTGTCCAGAGCCCAGCACAGGGGCCCGCGCCAGGCAAACAAGCGGGGCACCCACAACAGCTGCGCTGGGGCCAGCCTCCCCGCAGGCATGCACAAGCCGCCAGGACCGGCCGGAGGCAGTGATCCGCGGCTGCTTGCCTGCGCCTTGACGCATGCATAGAGCCAGTACCAGTCGTCGTTGGAGCCGGGGGGCACCACGAACATGGCCTTGTCAGCAATGAGCTTGTCGACCCACGGCACGTACGCATGGTGGCGCGCCTGCCAGGCATGACGCGTCGAATGCCAGCGGCGTCAAAACGGCAGGAGTGGCGGTCTGGGGCTGCAGTCGCAGACGCGCAGGGCGCCACAACACGCAGCAGACAGCCGGCTGTCTGGGCCGGCTGTGAGGATGAGGAGGTCCTCCTGCACATGCCCCATCTGATCAGAGGGCTCTGATCAGATGGGGCGTGTGCAGGAGAACCGAGGCGAGGGGGGCCTGGGGTGAGCAACAGTTGTACAGTACGGTAGTTGGGTTGCGGGGCTGACCTTGATCTCGTTTAGCCGTCCAGCGTGGAAGATGAGCAGCATGCGGCGGCCGGGGTTTGCGGCGGCCAGCATGTCCCACACCGCCTTGACCTGGCAGGACGCAGGTGGGGTGGGGTGCAGGCGGCAAGGCAGCAGTGCAGGAAGCGGTCAGGTGCTAGTTCGGCTTGACGGTTGCCGCCGGGTGATTTTGGTGAGCAAGTTTACGGCGTCTTGCGCCGCATTCCTAGCCCTGGTGCGGCCCTGACGGCTTGAAATTCTTCTGCAGCCCATCACATTGTGGACCACAGCCGCCACGCCGAGCACCTGCCCAGGGCCCCCTCCCCCTAGCCCCACGCAATGCCTCCCCGCTCCCTGTGCCAGGTGCACCTGCCGCGCGGGCAAATGACCCCAAACCAAGGAACTCCCGACCTTGCAAACCCCGCCCACATAAACACCGCCCATGTGACCCCCACCCATGTGACCCCCACCCAAGCGGCCCCCACCTGGTCCATTGAGAACCCTCCCCCCTCCCAGTTCTGCCCGGCCAGCGCTATGTTGGCGCCGTCCAGAAATATCTCGTACGGCTGCTGCTTGCCGTTCCTGCAGCATCAGAGGGTCCCGACATGATGCTATCGTCAGCAGTGGTGGGGTTGAGGCAAGCAAGCAGGGGGTAGCACACCAGGGACGCCGCCGGGCTGGCCGGGCGGAAGGGACCCCACAGCAGGGGCAAAGCGCGGCTTGCAGCGGAATGAGCGTCACGGGCGTCGCACACCCCAGCCCGCGCCGCGCCATTTGACACAGCCGCGGCGGATGGGCAGCAGCGGCGGCTGTCGCTGGGGTGGCAGCCACCTGAACAAGGGGGACTTTCGCCCCTGCCCACCTGGCCAGCCACTGCTTGAAGTTGTCAAACGCGTCCGTCCGCCGCTCGTGCTGGCGCGCAAAGCCGGCGATCGACTCGGCAAAGATGTCCCACTCGCCCTGAGACAAGTCAAACCGCTGCAGCTTCTCGCCTGAGAGGGTGGAGCGGTGCAGGAAAGCCGCCGTTGCAATGGGCGGCGGCAGCAGATTGGAATGTGAGAGGTTTGCTGCGAGTAGAGGCGGGGGGGAAGGCGTGGGGGGACAGCGCCAAGGCAGCGGGCAGGCGGGCGCGAACGGCTGACACCTGATGTGCCGTAGTCGGGCCTGACCCAGCACAACGGCTCGTTTTCGCTTCTGCCATTGTAGCGTTGGCAAACATGACAGCGCTGCTGATTCGACGGATCAACCATGCCATGTGGCAGTCGCTCACCCGCGTCTTCACTGAAGCCTGAGCGGTCCACCGCCACCCACCGCGCCGCCTCCCACCCCGCGCCGCGCCCCGCCATAGGCCCGCCCTCCGCAAACGCCGCCGCTGCCGCGGGTGCTGCGAAGAAGCGCTCCACCAGAGCCAGGGTCGAGGGCCGCAGCTGGTTGAGGTCGGCCTGCATGCGGCCGAGGAGGGCGGCGAACTGGGCGTAGCCGCCGCCCCGCGCCACGGCCTCCAGCAGCAGCGCGTACTCAGACTCTGGGGGAAATGAGGGAGGCAGGTAGGGGGTACCGTGGGCGGATGATGGCGGGGCTTGGCAAACGTTGCGTGTGCATATGCATGGGGGCAGCTGACTGCGACCTTTATGGTGGAGCCTCGCAACGTGATACCGTTGCGCACGGCGAGCTGCTCAACAATCTTGCTGGGCCGTACCCCCGGGTCGCCTACTTTCGCGGCCTCTCACGCGCGCAGCCCCCACCCACCATGACTCACCCGTGAGGTCCAGGTAGTCCCGCCCCAGCGCCGCCAGCTCATCAGCAACCGCCAGCGCCTCGTCAGCGCGCCCCGCCAGCGCCAGCCCCACCAGCGCCGGCTGGAACGTCCGCAGCCGCGCCACCATTTTGCCGCCGCCGCCGCCGCCGCCGCCGCTGCCGCCGCCGCGCTCCGCCGCCACCACCTCCCTAGCAAAGCCGAGGGCGGCGTCTGGGTCGCCCCGCGCGGCGGCGGCGCGTGCCAGGTGCGTGAGAATGGTCTCGTCGGGGGCCTGGCCCGCAGCCTGCATCTCCGCCCACAGCGTATCCACTGCCGCCAAGACCTCCTCCTGGCTGCGCTCCCGCACCTCCCATCCCTCCGTTTCCACTGCGGCAGTGGGGAAAGCAACCGGGGCGCGTGGCTTGGCATGCGATCTGGTTGGCATGGAATCCAAGCATATGGGTCTAGTATTCTGGGATCCACAGAACGAGAGACGGCGCCCGTCCTGACCGCCTTGCTGCGGCTGCGAGCGTCGGTCAAACATCGGTCAAACGCCGGTCAACGCGGCCTTGCAAAGTGGTGGCTATCCCGCCACGCAGCTGGCAATGCAGGTGCTCCCGGGCCCTAGCAGCAGCGGCCGCAGGCTGTCATTTGTGCCATTTTGAACCGCGCACCAATGGATGGTGTCTGGGGCTTCTCGCCCGCCGGCCCCACCCAGTTGGTGGTGTTGACGGGGAATGGTATCTGCTCCAGCAGCCAGCCCTCTGCCTCGCTCGCGCCCTCGCCAAGGCGGCACACGTGGTTCGCGCGCGCAACACCCTCCCAGGCGTTCTGGCCCGTGCATATCTGCAGCCGCGGCGCGGCGCGGGGTGCAGCGGGTGCGGAGGGAAACGCCAGATGCTCACACTCACAGGCGATTCAGGCCTGCAAGCCCAGGCAACGACAAGAAAAACAGGCTGGGCTTGCTGCGCTGGCTTGCGCTAGCATCCAACCGGCAAAGCGCCCCGGCCACGCGGCAGCGCAGCGGATCCAACCGGCGAGGGCGGGGCGGGCGCATGCAGCCAGCGGCCACCTGCATGAGTGTCGAGAGGTCCCCTAGGTTGAGCCTCAAGCGGAGCTCCCGCATCCTGTCGTGCACGGCCAGCGCCGCGTGGGGGTTGCCCGTCTTGGCGGCCATCCGGATCGCGTGCACGTACGCAAAGGCCTGGCGAACGGCGTGACAAGGGGGCGGCGGCGGCAGCGGCGGCATCTCAGAGGGTGGCTGGTGTTTGGGAGGGGGCACGCTTGCGCTTGCGGCACGACGTGCTGCAAGGAAAGGGATGCATGAGGGGGACGCTGGCACACCGGTGTGGGAACGTCAGCCGCAGCAAAGCCGGTCATGAGGGCGGTGGAAACGTGCCGCTTTCAGCAAACATGGATCAGCACGCGGCCGCTGCTCACCGGATCTTGTTCGCGTTTCTTACGCTTGCGACCCTGCTGCTGCTGCTGCTGCTGCTGCTGCTGCTGCTGCTGCTGCTGCTGATTCTGTGGCTGCTGTGCCAGCTCCTTGTCACTCGCAATGCCGGTTGCCGGTGCAGCGACTGCGACGTTGGCGGGCGGTGCCGCGGGCACGGCGGGCTCCTGCCCAGCTGCCACGCCTGCACCTGCAGCCGGCCGGTCAACCGCGACCGCGGCTTCGCTACTGAAGGGCTGCTTCAATTGAAGGTCGCCTACAGAGGCGTGTTGGAGTCGCACAATCGGAGAGGTTTGTTGAGTACATTGATTGCATGCAGCGGAAGCAGGGTCGCGGCGATCGCCTGAGCCGCTACATTCGCCCGCACCTGCCGCCTGCCTTGACCTCTTGACAATAGGCTCCTTTTCAAGGCCATCCATTCTGCCTTTCACTCTTCGAGGAAGAGCCGCTGCTATATGTCCCGCGGTGACCGCGCCAGGGGCGCCGGCACCGCCTGCCAGACCGCCCAGGCCCCTGGCGCGCTGGACAATCAAAGATGGGGCTGCAGCGCTGTTGATTCGCCCTGTGAACAGCAGCCTGCACATAGCCCCGACGAGCTGGCCTAGATTGCTGATCGTGATCGTAAATGAGATCAAACAGGACAATCGTTATTGTATCATATTCACAACCTGCCTTGTACTATAGAGTGATTAAGCATACGCATTGCTTGCACGCTAAACGAAGTCACCACCGGTGACAGAACTTATAGTCTTGTGTACAGCACCAGCTCTATGCGCAGCGTTGGTCGCATTCAGAGACTGCTGCGCTCCTCGGCATCTGCTTCAAGCGCCTGCATTGCCGCCTGCACCCCTGCAGGCACCGTTGACAGCGGTGTAGCAGTGACCCTGCCGCCGCCGCACTGCTGCACATCGGGGACCACTTGGGAAGGCCCACCGCAGGCTCTCTCAACAGCCCGGCGGTACTCCAAATTGTATCCAGGCCACCTATGGCCGGTGCAGCGGGCCGCCTGCAGCAGCAGCACCAATGGGCTATGCTCGACGGGCGAGCTTGCCCACACCGCCTCGGCTGCGGCCGCGCCTCGCGAGCCCCGCCGCAGCTGCAGCAGCGCCACGGCCGACGGGCTTCATAGCAACAATGCAACGCGGCGGCCGCCGTCTCGGATGCGGGCGGGCCGGCCGCAGCCCTGGCAGCAGCAGTGGGGCGGCGCGGAGCCGCAAGCGCATGCAGGCAGCAGCCTCGAAAAGCTAGTGGCGAGCATCGCGGCAACAAAGGATCCAGTGAGTAAAAGGTTGACCAACCAAGACAGGCTGGGAGCATCACTTGATTGTATGCTGCACGACACACCTCCATGCAACCGCCATGTCAGGCCTGAAAAGAGTGAGGTGCTGTGGGCCGCAGCCTTGCGGCTCGTAAAGGCATGCATACAGCGGGCAAGTACAGGCAAGCGTGCAAGGCAGCCGTTTCAACCAGTTGATGAGTCGCCGTGCCCCTGGCGCCTACCTTTCCTGCAGGAAGCGAAGTGCCTGCAGGGCATCAACCTGGCAGCCAAGCGCGGCTGCGCCGGGGAGGCGCTGGCGCTGTACCGCCTCCTGCGGCAGCTTCGGGGCAAGCCCGTACCCCCGCTGACGTCATCGACCATCCTCAGCCTGATGGCGGGCCAAGACGGCTGGGAGCTGCTGGTGCGGCGGCGGCACGCCGCGCGAGAGGCAGCGCGGCGGCAGGAGGAGCGGCAGCGAGAGGAGCGGCGGAGGGAGGAGCAGCGGCGGGAGGAGCAGCGCCAGGAGGAGCGGCGGCAGGCGGAGCGGCGGCAGCCGTCGCAGCGCGGGCGGCACTCGCGTTTGATGCGGCAGTGGGAGGAGTGGGGGGAGGAGGGGTTGCGGAATCCGCCTGTCGCGGCGGCCCACTCCTCACTGGCACGAGGGCAGCATCATCAGATTCAGCAGCAGGAGCTGCAGGAGCAGCAGGAGCAGCAGGAGCAGCAGCGGCAGCAGGAGCAGCAGGAGCGGCAGGATGTCGACCCTGACGGCTGGCTGACCTGCCAAATCCCTTATGCAGCCATCGATAGGGCAGCGATCAGAGAGGCATCCCGCAACCCTGCAGGTGAGCCCGCCCTGCCCCTGCAGGAGTGCTGCCGAGTGCCGCCGTCAAAGTCCGTCGGCAAAATGGAATAGCAGGGTCCAAATAAACCAGGATGCAAGGTCAACACATGGGCTGGCTGTTGCAGCAGGGTTCTGGTTTATCACATGGGCAGGCTCACAGACATACAGCAGGGGCGGGCGCCAGCTGCACCTGTCTGACCCTAGCTCTCATCAGCCTTTGGTCACGCGCCGCCGCCTCCTTCGGCTTTGCGCCTGGGTGCTGATCGTACCTACCCTGCCGCTCCCGCGCCGCCGCAGTCGACCTGCTCCCGGAAGGCAGGCAGCCAGATGAGATCTCAGAGGATAAGGGGCTCTCGGTGGTTGGCAATCTGTGGGCAGAGATGCAGGCTGCGGGCCAGGCCCCTGATGAGACCATATTCACGCACCTGGCGCGCGCCGCCGCCGCGCGCGGCGACCCAGACGCTGCCCTCAGCTTTGCTAGGGAGGTGGTGGCGGCGGAGCGGGGCGGCGGCGGCGGCGGCGGCGGCAAGATGGTGGCGCGGCTGCGGACGTTCCAGCCAGCGCTGGTGGGTCTGGCGCTGGCGGGGCGCGCTGACGAGGCGCTGGCGGTTGCTGATGAGCTGGCGGCGCTGGGGCGCGACTACCTGGACCTGACGGGTGAGTCATGGGGGAGCGGGGTTTATGGGCCTGTGTGGGGGCAGAGTTACCAAGGTGTGGGGCGCAGTACGAGTTGTGGTCAGCTTCCTCAATGGAAAAAGCGTTGCGGGGTACCATGGTGACGGTCGCAGTCAGCTGCCCCTATGCATATGCACACGCAACGACTGCCAAGCCCCGCCGCCAGCCACCCACACCAAGGCCCCCTCCCCTCCCTCTCCGCCCCCAGAGTCTGAGTACGCACTGCTGCTGGAGGCCGTGGCGCGGGGCGGCAGCTACGCGCAGTTCGCCGCCCTGCTTGGCCGCATGCAGGCCGACCTCAACCAGCTGCGGCCCTCGACCCTGGCTCTGGTGGAGCGCTTCTTCGCAACGCCCGGGGCGGCGGCGGCGTTCGCGGAGGGCGGGCCCATGGCAGGGCGCGGTGTGGGGTGGGAGGCGGCGCGGTGGGTGGCGGTGGACCGCTCCGGCTTCAGTGCAGACGCGGGTGAGTGGGCTGCGGCTTGGTATGCTGCTGCGATGGCACACCGGGGCTGCATTTGGCTGGGTGCATGTGTTGTCAAGTCCCCGAGTGGTGGTGAGTTTGAGGGTCACTGCAACCCTGTCAGGCCGATGCAGCCGCCCCTGGGCCCGCGGCCGGGGCACTGCCGCTGCTGCGCCCGCGCGCGTGAGCGTGAGCCGCGAGTGCACTTTCACGGCGCGCGCTCACCCCCGCAGGCGAGCCCTTGGGCTGCATCGACCTGTCGCCCGCCGGCTGGCAGTCCCTGCTGGGCACCATATTCGATGCCATGGGGGCGGCGCGGCACGGCACAGAGCAGGCCCGGAGGTGGGCGGCCGACAGCGCTGCGAGGCGCGGCGCGGCAAGGCAAAAGCCAGATGGCCCGTCCCCGAGCGCTCAGCCGGTTTTACGAGGGTCTCGCAGGCGCCGGCGCGCGTTGTCTCCCAGCACCCAGGCTCTGGCAGCTTCCAGCCGGGATCGCCGCGCGGTCATCACACCCATCCGTCCGACCCGTTTTTGCCTGCCGGCGCCCCTATCCCATGCCGTTTTTTCTCCACTGCCCACCCACCCCAAAGGGACTTCGAGGCTTGGCTGTCCTGCCACGGGCCCTACGAAGCCATCATCGACGGCGCCAACGCTGCGCTGTTCGGCCGCCACGACCCACCCCACACGCTCGACCTCGGGCAGGTGCGGACATGCGCCAACAACCCTGCCCCCGCCCCCACCCTCATCCTGGGCTGGCCACCTGCACTTACCGCCGGTGCGGCGCAATCACGCGCCTTGTCCGCGCCGCGACGCGCTGCGGCAAATGCATCGCGAACCAGCCAGCCGCCTGCCTGGTTTTCGAGGGGGTCGCCACAGCAGTGCGCATCAGCAGGCCCCAATCCAACCCCATCCCTCGGCATGCCGAGGACGCCCGCCCGCCGCCCGCGCCCGCCCAACTCATGTTGTTATTTTCCCATCGCCCGGCAAACCAACAGGTGCGGGCCGTGTGGGATGCCGTTCAGCTCAGGTTCCCAGACCTCCGACCCCTCGTGGTGGGTTGCAGGGGGGAAAGGGGGGGCTCTTGCGGCCGCCCTGGACACGCATGAGGTGTTGCATCCATGACTCATTGGCTGGACCGTCCACGTCAGCATGGGGTCAGGGTTCAGGGTAGAGCCAAGAAGTACTCACATTTCATGACCGGCTCCATTTTTGTATCCCCCTTTGAGGCCTCTGTGGTGGTTCCACCCGCGCCCCTCAAACCGGCCGCCCCTGCGGGCCCCTCGGCCGGCAAGATTGTGCCTCTCCTCGTAATCACTCCTCCAAACGCGCGGCTCCAGCATCAGGCGACCGCGGGGCGCTGTAATATGATCCAAAATCCGAAATCCTTTTAAATAAACACGGCCCCCGGGGCGCGCAGGTGCTATCGAGCGGCAAGCGGCGGGAGGTGGCGGCCAGGGACCCCTCCGACGCCGACGCCGCATGGCTGCTGCGGCTGCAGCGGGAGCGGCGGCTGTACGTGACCCCGCGGGACTGCCATGATGACTGGTTCTGGCTCTACGCGGCCGTCCGAGCGGGGGTGAGAACATGGGCTAGCAGGGGGGCGGGCGATGGCGCGCGCGCTTTGGCTGTCGCCGGGCCGCAAACGAGCCTGGCCAGGCACTTGGGCGCCGAATGAACTTTCTCGCAGCAGGGAGCGGCACCACACGCTCGTTTTGGCGGCGGCAAGAAATCCTCTCAAGCACTCTGAATCCCTGCGATTTCCAACAAATCCTTCCAACAGGAGAAGGGAGTTTTGGTGACCAACGACGAGCTCAGGGACCACATATATGCGCTGCTGCGCCCAAAGCACTTCTTCCGGTGGAAGGAGCGCCACATCGCGCGCTTCACCCTCCCGCAGCGCCCGGCCGCCGCACCCGGCCGCGCCGGCGCCGCCGCCGCCGCGTGGCTGCACCTGCCGTCGCCGTTCACGCCGTGCGTGCAGCAGCTGCCGGGGAGCGGCGCGTGGATGGTGCCCGCGGCCGATCGCGACGATTGGCTGCTCATCCGGCCCAGGGCGGGCTAAACATGTGGCATGGGGTAATTCCCTCCCCGCCACCGACCTTGGCTGCTGATGGTCCTCCGCCGCCGCGCACATACGCCGGCCGCCCCTTGCTCCTCGCGGTCGCTGGCAGCTGCTGGCGCTTCCTTTTTGGCTCGGCTTGCCTGGTAACCTGCCCCGTTTCAGAGCTTTTGCAAGAGAGTATCTGATCTGTTGTTGGCTGTCTGACAAATCCAGTCGACCCCTCAATGCATAACAGTGACGGCTGGTCCGGATGTGGTGTGGGTGACGGCAATATGTGTGGACCGTCGCAGTGACAGGGGTGACAGCGGCAAGGCGTTCTGTGCTGAATTGCAGGCATTTGCAGCGGCAGTGGGTCGTTCATCGATTTGCAGGACTGCAGCGCCACATGCGCCGGACAGCACGCAGTCCAGCAGCGGTGCTGCGGTGCTTGCCTTCCGTCGGACGTGGCGATGCCCCAAAACAGCGACCACAAGAACACGTGCGGCAGGGGGCCCCGCGCCACGGGCGCTGTGGCAGCTGGCAGCTCCCACCCGGCGCGACCCGATGCGTCCCGGCGTGCGCGTTTCAGAAACAGCAGCGCGAGGTGCGGCCACCGGCTGCCCTGTGACCTGAGAGCACCCTCCACACCACAAATAGAGCGAGGGGATCCGATCAAGCGCGCGCGTGTGTATTACAAGAGGTGCCGCTCCACCCCGCAGCAGATCCTGCTGCGCCGTCACTCGACCCTGACGAGCATCTTGTTCTTCTTGCCGCACGCCAGCAGCGCCAGGCGGCCGTCGATGAGGTCAGCGGGTGTCAGCGCCCTCTTGTCGTCGGCGACCTTTGCGTTGTTGAGGTACACGCCGCCGTTCTTCACCATGCGACGCACCTGGCGGGGTGGTTCGAAGGGGTTGTGTTGTGCAAATGGTGGGGGGAGGCGCCTGCTTGTAATGCACGAGCGGTGCGGCTGGGGGTTGCTCAAGCATGTGATGCGCTTGTGTCGGCCCCCGTGCATGCGCTCGCATGTGAGTGCAGCGTGCAACCGGTTTAGCCAGGGTGGCACAGCAAAAATCAGCGACGACGTTGAGGATGACTGCGCGTCGCAACGGCTCACAGCGCGTCGTCCGCACAGGGCGCGGCCGCGTGTCCGCCGCCCTTTGCCAGCAGCTGCACGGCTGCAGGGCTGCTCTGCCGTGCGGCGGGCCCATGACTCACCTCGCCCTTGCTGGGCAGCATGCCTGATGCCACCACCACATCCACGAGCAGCTGCCCCTCCACCTGCCAGTCAGTTGGATGAGTCACGCATGATGAGCGGCGGCTGGGCGCTCAGGGCGGATAGGAAGGGCTCGGCGCGCGGCGGCCGGGGCTGGTTGGGGGGTTTCGTGCTGTATGCGTCATCAAGCAGAATGACAGATGCCAGGGCACGCATCAACCAGCCGGCGCGCCCGGCGCGATAAGAGGGCGCCCGCTGCCGTGACGCAGGCCCGTCATGGCGCAATGAGCCTAGTGGTCAGAATGCAGCTTCCTCGTGGCCAGCCCTCCTTCCACACGCACCAACCCCGAAGCGTAAACAAGCATCGACCCTGAGCTCCAGGCAGGGACAGACAGTCCACCCCTGAACCACCTTGATCCCGGGATCCCGATCACGGATAACCCCCACCTGCTCCCGCTTGAGGCTGCACGTGGGGGCGTCCCCCGCGATGGCCTCCAGCGTCGCCGCGTCCAGCTCGGTCGCCGCGCCCGGCCGCAGCGCCTCCGTCGCCTTGAGGGCGGTGGCGAGGCCCTCGGGGCCGTGGACGAACTCGGTGAGGGCCTCCGCCAGGCGCCGCTGGGCGGTATTGGGCACGTAACCGGGCTGCGGTGTGGGAGAAAGGGATGGTCGTGTTGAGAGGGGGGGATCAGGAGCTAGGGTGAATGAGGGCCTGCATACATGACATGTGCTTGAGGGTCCTGGGGGGAAGTACAGGCGCCCGGCTGCAAATAATAGCAGAGCATGGATGAGGAGGGCAGCCCAGCAGCTGCCATTCGCAGCTGAACCAGCCCAGCAGCTGCACATTGCCCTCTGAACACGCGCTCCCAAGCAGCAGCACCAGCAGCCGGGAAGGAGGGTGCCTTTGCCCGGCCCTCGACGTCCCTGCCAAACCCTGCACCGACCCAATGGGGAAATCGGCTCGCTTGCCATTGACCACCTCCCCCATCCCGCACACATACTCACGAACACACCTCCCTCCACAACTCTTGAAAGCAAACACAGCATGATCAGTAAAGCGCACTGCTGCCGCGTCGCCCTCACCTGCGCCATGGCCTCCTCGATCCCCTTGATCTCCTCTAGGGGCAGAAACGTCAGCATGCGCAGCAACTTGATGACGTCAGCATCCGTCACACCGAACAGGTACTGGCGTGAGGGAGCGTATTTGTACAGGAGAAGCGGCGTGCAGGTTTGAGAGTGTGCATGCCCGCTCGAGAGTCTAGGCTTCGTACGGCCAGCAAACCCACGCAGGCATGTGTACGCATGTGTGTGTATGCGTGTGTGTCCATACGTGTGAGCGCGTGCATACCTGTACGCGCGCGAGTGTGTATGTGTGTGCGCACGCACGCGAGCGTGTGCGTGCGTGCGTGCGGGCGGGCGTGCGTGTGGTGTGTGGGGGTGTTCGCGCGTGTGTGTGTGTGCAGGTGCATGCCGTAGCACGGCCCACCTGGTAGAATTTGTAGGGAGACAGCTTGTCAGCGCTCAGCCAGATAGCGCCACCGACAGACTTGCCGAATTTGCGGCCCTCAGAGTCCACCTGCAATCACATGGATCGCCCGAAGAAGGGGTCATGATTGTTGGTAATTATATCACATGGCGAATGGGACGGAACGGAGTGGCATCAGTGGTGTGGCATGGCATGGCGCGACGCGGCGTGGTGCGGCAGGGACAAGGGCAGGGAAACAGTGGTGATGATGCAGGGGATGAGCAGGCGCAGCCGCGGGCCTTAGGGGTGGTCGTGACAGGCCAGGAGGGAGAGGCGCAGGGG